ATAAAAGTTGGGAGGGTGTATCAAAGCATTGCTCAGTAGCTTAGTACATATAAGATACATAAATGTAGTTTCATTTGTCTGAGTACAAGGTTTTATTTTTTCAATTTTGCACCGTTTTGTCCCACTTCTCAAGAATGACTGAATGCTGGTAATAAACCAGTTGATGTGCGCGAACTGCTTCCCGTGTTTACGCTGTTTCTGTGGTTACAATCAGTGAACACTAACATGTGTTTAAAGTTAATCACTTGAAGCGTATACTGTTTTTAGTAAACCGAAACTTGAAGAGGAACGCTCTCAGCCTCGTGTCGTTACAAACATGTATGACTTTGTTTCTTCTGTGTTCTTTATTTCTTACGCAACATTTTTTACCAAAAAAAAAACGACGTGAGGCTGAGGCTGAGGCCGAGTCGAGTGATTAATCAAGTGATAAACACCATAAACCGATAGGTTACAGTTCATTGTTTGTAACCCTAGAGACAGCGTAAGCAGGAAACCCGCCATTGAATATTTGGCAGCGTACACAGCAAGCAGTTCGCGCGCGTAGTAAAGGAAGTAACTTTAGTACGTCACCAACATGCGTTTCCACAACACGGCCACCAGAAACGTCACAGTCAGTCTTGACATTTCCTGAAAGATGCAAATATCATGAGAGACCGTGTTTTTCGGATGTTAGTTCACGGTTTATCTTGCTAACATTATAGCCTCATTATAGTCTGTCTTTGCGCTTGAGAGCAGAGAGGTAGGTGTTATTGTGTAATTTAATTGTGATATAATTATAATGAAATCGTAAATATTCGTTTTTATTAAAAAATATGTAGCGTTGAGTGACTAGTGTGCAAAGAGAGAATTGGGTTTGTTCAAATGCACGTCACATTAAGCCACTGTTTACCTGTACAAGTTCTCAGAAATTAAGTTTAATTAACACATTTAGTCATTGTATTATTATTATTATATTCATCGTTATGGTTCAGACGCAGTCCTGCGCACAACCTCGCATTTCATTAGATCAGAGTTCAGCCGAAAATGAGCATCTGTCATCATTTACTCGCCCACGTCTTTCCAAACCTTTTTTATGTGGAACACATATGTTTTGGTGACCTTTGTCTTTCATTTGATGGATAATGGGCAAAACAATGAGACATTTCTCAGAATATTTTCCTTCCAAAGAAGAAAATGATGCCGGTTTGGAACAACATCAGGTTAAGTAAACAATGACAGAAGCTTGTTTTCTCTTTGAGCAGGTCCAATCAGAATGTCTCAGATGGAGCTCCTCGTCGCAAATGTAGCTGAGCTCCTCACCGCTGCTGTACAGGAAGTGTTGCAGCTCATGGGTCGGGCTGTGTTAGAGTATCAGAAAGAGTCTGCCAGAACACGCCTGGAGAATCAGAACCTCCAGCAGAAGCTCAAACAACTCCAGGAGACGATGACTGGGGATTCACGTGAGATTATGACCAGCTTATAGTTGTGGAATTAACTTGTCTACTTACTTGCATGTACACATTTTCAATCATCTTTTATACTTTTAGATGAAGTCCTGAAAGTCTCTTTGCCCATTGAGAAGCCCCATTTAGAGGAGGATCATGCACAGGAAGATCTCATTTATCTTGGAGATTCAGCTGTGAGCAAGCAGACAGAGCAGCCACAATGTCCGAGTGACAATCCTGTTCACATGAAGCTGGTTTTAGATGAGATGACTTTAGACAACAGACATCATACTCTGCAAGGGATCTGTGACTATTCTTTGAAGAAGCAGAGACCCCTCTCCAGGGTAAAGAGTAGCCCTCCAAGAAGAATCCCAAATGCTGGCAGCAGAGAGAGTCCAGTGACCAGCGACACTGAGACACCACTGGGCTCGAACAGAATCAAAGAGGAATCTAAACCAGAGCCTCTGGAACTTTCTGTAAGGGAAGAGACAGACAATGTGACAACACAAGCTCCTGTAGTTCTCCTGCACGACGTTCCTCCATCAAACGAACACAACCAGCTGCCTGTCTCGTCCTTTTCCAACAACGTTGTCTACTGTAACCAACTAGACAAATTACTAAATTCTGCTTCCATACACATTCTTAGGTCACGGGTGGAGAATATGGTCCAAACAGGGGGCATTCACGGCACTCCCAGCGTCAGTGAGAGCAGGGAGATTCTGCACAGCTGCCACATGTGCGGCAAGACCTTCGCAACGCCCTCCAGCCTCGGAGCGCACTTCGTGTGCCATTCAAACGAGAGACCTTTCGTTTGCAAGTGCTGCAAGTTCAGGTTCAGTCGTTTAGCCGATCTGAAAAAGCACGAGCGCATTCATACAGGAGAAAGGCCATATAACTGTTCGCTCTGTGGACGGAGATTCAACCGAACAGAGAATCTCAGAAGACACTTGAGGAAGGTTCATTATGGAGCAGTACTGTGAGCTTTAAATTCACAGCATTTATTTTAGCATGTCGACTTTGGATCATTCAACAAAATCAGTGCTTATTCATATCTCAAAAGTTACTATAGTTGCTCAGTCCATTAGGCCTGTTTTCCCCCCACTTTTAATATAGTATGTTGGCAACTGTTTCCATCAAATTGAATTAAAATAATTATTCATCAATATCAGTGATGTAGCTGAAATATGATGAATGTGTATTATCATACATTTTTTTTAATGAGAATACATGATATGTGGTAAAATATTCTCATTGATCAAAGTGCAGCATTCCACTGGATTCTTGGTTTCAATATTGTTTGTATTTACAGCAGTGTTCTTTTATTCATTTGTGTGGCTTTTTTGTTGTTGTTGTTGTTGTTTTGTATTAAAACGTGTACAAAAACACACACTACTCTTTCAAAGTTCGGGGTTGGTAAGATATTAAAAAAATATTTTGAAAGAAGTCTCTTGTTCTCACCAAGGCTATATTTATTTGATCAAAAATACAGTAATATTGTGATATTATTACAATTACAGTTTTCTGTTTAAATATAATCTAAATGTAATTTATTCCTGTGATGGCAAAACTGAATTTTCAGCAGCCATCACTCCAGTCTTCAGTGTCACATGATCCTTCAGAAATCCCTTAAGAAACTTTTCTTATCACTGTTGAATGCAGTTGTGCCACTTAATATGTTTTTCAGGATTCTTTGATGAAAGATCAAGAGAGCAGCATTTATTTACAATAGAAATCTTTTGAACCATTATGAATATATTTACTGTCACGTTTGATGAATTTCATAAAACCTTGCTGAATAGTTCTTAAAAAAAAAAACCCTACTGACCCCAAAATTTTAAACAGTAGCATAACCCTCTAGAGTCAGTCCCCACCGTTGACTATAGGAATACAACTTGGAATACATGATTCGCTAATTTCGCTCCTCTTTGTTTTTATTTGTATGGTATATTTAAGACACTTGCATAAATCTGCACACGTTCAGCTCTTCAAATCATTTAAAACTGACAGATGTTTCAAAGTGAATATCAGTTCAAAACCAAAACATCCATCCTCTATTTCTTTCAAAATCTGCTTCAGCTTCTCTTTTTGCTCCATTCCACACGCCACTCGTTCCAGTCCAATAGTGTCCAGTCTGTTTGCCACTTTGCTTGATCCAGCTCTGATAAGGACAAACAAAAGAAAGGGTTAGAAAAAAAGTGTGGGGGGGGGGGTTTGGGTCTCTCAATGCAAAATTTTATTGCAACATGCATTACACATTTACCTTTTAGGAATGTCTGGATAATTTGATTAATCATCTTATGACTCTGTGATACTAAATCCCATGGGTCTAGAAAATAAAACAGTGTCAGAGACTTTAGGGTGGTACCATATTTCATTTTTGAAAGAAATGAAAACGAGGCTGTGAAGAACAGAAGTACAGGGCATTCAATAGATTGTATATTGTATTCAATAGATTTAACAACATACCGATTGTTCAGCCGACAATATGTCAGCCTTGCTTTCATCGGCATTAATTTTAATTTGGTGTCTTAACCTGACTAACCTGACTTAAAGAAAAGAAGCTACCATCCCTTGATCAGCAAGCGTAACCAGTACTATGCATCTAAAGATAAATATGAAATGAAGATCTCTTTCATCACAACTGAACAAGTGCTTACCCTTAGTGTTTGAGAGCTGCTTGAGCGCACCACTCGGAGAGGAATCATCGTGCAGCACAGCACGAAGACACAAGGCCTGACATGCTGCCATGATTTCATCACGCACAGAAGCATCGCTTCCCAGACACACACACACAGTACCTGAAAAAAAAAAATGCATCCCATAAATGTGTCATTGCTGTTCTGGCTGAGTCATAGTTCAGCATAAATTCCCTAATGTCATTTCAGATCATGTTATTATGTCTGACCTCTGTTTATATAGCAGAATTTGGCAGGTTTTTGTACCATTTTTGATTCCAATGAGATACGGTTTGCTGTTGTTCTTCAACGCCAGCTGCAGTTCTCCTGGCCTTGAAGTCAATAAGACATCATTTGAACAGTCAATACTGTTTCACAACAACAATATATTTGTAATTAGTAAATGAATATAAAAGCAGATGAACAGACTCTTGAACAATGTCTCCAAGCCTCACACCCAACTTTATGGGAACTGTCCTTCCAAGCGCTGCGAAGAGGAATAGAATTCTGTTAATTAGATGCATAATGAATCATATTAAATGAACAAGAAAGGCATTTCAAAGTGATCAGGTTTTAAGGCCATACACAAGAACACAGGCTCCTTCTGATTGGCCTCCACTGGACTAAGCAGTTGACCATGAAGCAGGTACTGATGGAGGACTATGGACAAGCGAGCCTCATTAAGGGTTTCCATAACAACAGAACGAACAGCTTTGTAATTGGCAAACAGGTGGAGAACAGTGAACAGGAAGAACAGGATGAACGTCAACCTGAATAAAAGAGCACAAATCAGTATCTGCTACACACTTCATGTAGACCGTGGCTTACATATCAGGGTGTAACTCACAATGGGTTATCTGTTACAAGCGGGATGAGTGCCAGGCTGACCAGCAGTCCTGCCAGGTTCACCAGGGTTTCCTTGTCAAGACAAAAAAGCAGAGAAATGATACACTAATCCCTGAAACCACTGACAAACATATTGACTTCAATTTCCCACATTAAGAGGGAATTTAGCTGGGAAATTCAAGAAAGAACAACTATCATGAAGTATATGAGAGAAAGTGAATAAAAACCTGGCTCCCATCTTTGGCGGAGATATCAGCCATGTTGTTTCTGCGAGCTTGATGGACAGTTAAGGCAGCTCTTGTTGCTCCACCAGCGACTCCTACAATGGACTGGAATGACAGAAATAGAGGAATATGCATAGATAATTACTGTCAAGCTGATTTAAGGTTTGGAGGAAGATGCTGGTAATATTTTACCTTAAATATCCCAGCAATGCAGACGATTAGAGTGAAAAAAGGAGGGAAATGAGGGGCTGCAATCTCCATGAACATTGCCACGTCATTAAGAATGTCAGCGAAGAGCCTGAAAAGACAAGAAAGACATTATTATGTAAAATATTTATGAAAAGTATTAGATTAAAATGTTTACTCAAACTAAAACTGAAATGAAAGTAATTAGTGTACCGCACCTCCATTTTTTGGCTTCAGAATCTAACTTGCTCCTGAAATACAAGGTCACAATTAAGTACTATAAAACAAAACATCTTCCCAATCTGAATGGCTGGTCAAATATTACCCTTTGAGCCAAGCAAAAAGTATTCTTCCCAGCATCCCAGTTCCATCTGAAAAAAAGAGGGAGAAAATGGTTAGAAAAGCATGCATTCACAAATGAACATAAGTAAATTGTGCACATACCCCTAAGCAGCCACGTTATTGTAGCTGCTGCAACTGTTGCTTCTTGATTTCCAACCCCAACACCCCTCAGTGAAGCCTGAGTGGCAAGTGTGCCAGACAGAGAGCTAGAAAATGCCTTGGAAAACAAAAGACGGTGCTATGATATTAGTGTATATATATATATATATATATATATATATATATATATATCAGAGGGGTCAGTAAGATTTTTTTTTTAATAAAGAAATGATTACTTTTAAAGTTGGATTCAATTGATCAAAAGTGACAGGAAAGATATTTTGTTGTGGCAATTTTTATTTATTGCTGGAATACTTTTAAAAGCAAGTACTTCTGTACTTTTACTTAAGTAAAAATCTCTCTTTACAACTTTCACTTGTAATGGAGTAATATTTGGCCATCAGTATCTGTACTTTCACTCAAGTAATGGAGTTGTGTACTTTGTCCACCTCTGGCTAAATGCAGTAAACTATTTTCAATAGATTAACTGTGGGGTATTTCTTCTGTTTCTGCCAATATTAAGAGTTAATATTTTTTAAATCTTTATGTTTGGCTAATGAATTTCCCCCCCCAACAACAAAATCAAAGAATCTTCAGCACTACACGAGTGTCAGATCTATGGCACTTGTACCTGCACAGTGTCCCAGAGCTGATACTGTACGTAATCCTCACTGACACTCTCAGGATACCCCTGTGGCAGGAAAACACTCTGGGAGAGGAGAGAGCAGTTAGTGATGTCTCAGAGAGTTTGTGTAAAGGATCTGAAAGACTTCCGTGTTATTCTGTGTCAGCCGCGCACTTTAAACACGCCAGAGATTGAATTTCCCGCCAGTCTGCCGTCCAGTGCATCCTTCTGTCTCTTCATCCTCCCATCCTTCAACAGGTATTTCCATGACTCCTGTGAGCCATAGCGCTCTGTGGCAATCACCCCTTCACAGTCCTCCATCTCTGCCATCTGCACATCAGTTAACACGTGTGCATTAAACACAAACGAGCCACTAAGCCAAAGGAAAAACCAAAATCAATGACTTCAGGTCTTTTACTTTGAATTTTCACACTCAACTGTAACAGCAGTCTCACACATTGCACCTCATGCACATTATCTCACAAAATATATTTTTGAATAAAATAAGAGTTTTCTGTATGTTGTCACGCTGTGTAGGTTGGCATGCTAAGGACTAAAATTACTAATACGTGAAGGAGTTTCTGCTTGCGTTTCAGTAGATCTGACTGGAATCGCCCACCTCACCCACGTCCCACGTCCCACGTATCACGCTTCCGTGTTTAGACTGTATCGATGCGTCATGAGTATGTCGCGGCTTCTGATTGGCTCATGGAATTTTACGTATCAAAACCATACAAAACGAGCGAGAAGATTTCCTGCTAGTAGTTTTATTAATTCATTTACTTAATTTCCTCATTTGTGTGGTTACATCATACACAATGCTTTGTTTTATTTGGTTTGTAAATATTACATTTTGTTTAATTGTTGTTCTGTATAAATTCCTGCAGCAGCACTTTTCCTTTTTTTTTCTTTCTTTCTTTATTTACATTAAATGAACAAGGAGAACAAGAGGGAGAGAATTAATCAGTGTTTGATTTTAAGCTGTCTGGCTTGTCCTGACCTCAGTGTCTGTCTCTTTGTTAATGTGTCAGCTGACCTTCGCAAGCCAGTGTTGTGTGCATGTCTGTGTGTCTGAGTGTCTGATAGAGAGAACAACAGGTCAGAGCAAAACTGAAATATACTGAAGCATCATAAAAGAGTTGTTTTTGGAATTTTAATTTATTTATTTATTTAAATTCTTGGTATTAGTAAGTGGCAATCATTTTAGCAGCTGGTGTCATGTGCTATGGGGTATGTCATGTTAACACAATCTCCACGGCACAAACGCAATTTTACTATTTATTGCCGCCAGTGTTGGGCTAGTTACTCAAAGAATGTAATATATTACTCATTACTAGTTACTCCTTTCAAAAGTAATATTGTTACTTTACTTATTACTTTCTGGCAACAGTAATTAGTTACACTAATTACATTACTTTTTCTTCACACCCCACAGAAGTTGTAACTGTGTATCTTCCACACGTAAAATTCTTCTAGAATGTTACTAACAACATATTTCTGCCAAAATCCACATTGGATCGCAGTCAGAAGTTATTACGAACACTCAATAGTGACTGATAGTGACATTCAAGTAGAAGTGTTGTATTCATCTCATTAATTGTTATGTGTAGCTTGAAGCTAATTGTAATTTCTCCGTTACCCATATACGATTATATTTCATGTTGTATTTGATCAAATCACATAAGTTTGTAAGAAACCGTTTAATTTTCCAAAAATATTTTTAATTATAGTAATATAATGTACCACATGCTGATCAGAGGGATGTGGGTGGGATGTAATGCCAGAGTAAAGTAAAGCCACAACTTACACAACAGTGTTCAAATCATCTTTTTTCCCTGACAAAATCAATATAATGCAATATTTCTATCTGCTGAATGTAAGCTTTTCCATATTCCAAGCTTGCCTGCTGCACTGGGGACATCACATGCATGTGCAAATCCTGAAAATTATGTAAATAAATCTAGGAATTATTTGATTGTTGGATTTTAAATCAGCGGGGTTGAGGCATCAAATAAGCTGTTTTATGGATGGTAACTGTAATATTATTACTGAAATCTTATTAGTGATTAGTTACACTACTAGTTACTGCAAAAAGTAATATTATTACAGTAACTAAGTTACTAGTAACTATTTACTGCCCAACACAGATTACCGCTACTTTTATTAGTTCAAAACAATCATGCAAAGCAATAGTTCTCAACCAGGGGATATATTTAGCTTGAACCAGGGGGCCTCAGCAAACTTGTCAAGATGACCTAAAATGATTTAAAATAAGACAAAATAAGCATTCCAAATACAATGAGCTAAAACAGCAACAAAAATATGATTTTATTACTTTATTACTTAAAATTCACCCCCTCACCTAGGATTCCCATCTTGTAAATAAGTAAGGACACACATACTTATTTACATCTATTTACCTGTACACACATCTAATACCATCTATTGTCTATTTTGTATATTGTATTTTTTTTTTCTTTAAATATTTTTGTATATTGTTATTCCATACTTATTCTATTTTTTATTCTTTTTGTACTGTTACACTGTGGAAGCTTCTGTCACCAAAACAAATTCCTGGTATGTGTAAACCTACCTGACAATAAAGCTCTTTCTGATTGTAGATGAGATGGTCTAATTACAAAAAGGTTTATTTTTCTAGACTTGGAAGAAAAAAAACATACAAGTGAGGTGATTTTCTCCATATTTGGACACATAGGATAAGTTGATGTATCAAGTGATATACCTGCATGCCTGAACTTGAACATAGCACCTGAAAAATGCAGACATAAATCTAACCCACAGGTCCTGTCTACTCTCCCCCCTTTTAAAATAATCAACATACTTGATGTTTTTTTCCAAAGGAAGAAAATCAGAACCAGTATTTAATCTGTCAAAGAACATTCATGAAACATGACAGGCTGTAAATCATGCAGCTGTCCAATTAAGAGATCAAACACATGCAATCTCTGTTTACCAACACAAGCCCTGCAGGGGCCTCAGCTTCCATCTCAGGAACTTGATTCTTGTGAGGCTGTGATTGCGTAAATAGAAAGAGAAAGAAACAGTGAGAGAGAATGAGTAATAGCAGAATGAAGTCAAAGCTCCTGTGTTACAAAGTCTGCAGACGCTACTCATGATTCACAGGGACACCAAGGTGTGGTAAACAGACCGATAAACGTAAGAGCTAAAGAATGTGAGTGGAAGTACCTCGAGCTGAGTGGGAGTGAATAAGACAGTGGGAGGGAGCAAAACGTGGAGGTGTGGTGTTTTTAATTCTGTCATTGTTGTAGCGAAGCGGTTCAAAACGTTTCCTTCACACTCAGCCTCCTCTAAGGTCGAAACTGGAGCTAAAGAAGCTGTACTATATAGTTCACATACATAATTGAAAACAAGAGGAAGTTTGGATGGGAAGTCGTCTCGAATCGAGTTGTGACAACGACATGTGACATCTTTTTCAAACTTCTGTCACTACATAAACTGAAAGAGTTATTAGCAGAGTACCGATCACCAGCCACTTTCTACTCAAGCAAAAACACCAAACTTATTTGGTTATTAAATACCTTTGGATCTCTGGTCAACCTGAGGAATTTAGGACCCTTCTTCCCTCAAGATCAAGTCTGGGCGAGTCTGTAAGTACTGAGAGCTTTGGTTTCAATAACTGTGTTTCAACTGGCATGTTTTTCATTGCTGCTACCTTCAGAAAGATTATTATCTTTTTGGAGGCAGACTTTACACAGCTGAGATTTCGATTTATCACGACAGTCTAGCCAAAACTAGCAAGTGAGATCTGTCAACACTCTCTTGTAATACTGATGCCAGTTACTATCATGCCATGACTCTGTCTCTGTCCATACCTGTTTTTCAAGCCCCAGCACAATAAGAGATCATAGAAACGCACTTCACCTTAAATGCTTTAGAAAAACCCTTTGAAATTGTTCTAATATACATTTATTCCCCCTCTTATTTTTTTTAAATACTCCTCTATCAAAACTGAAAGCAGAAAATCACTGTCAAGAACCAGTTAAACCAGCTTGTTTTAAATCACTGCTTGATGTTTAAAACTTGATTCAGACAGAACTTGAACTACACTGTAACCATTGTAGTATAAAGTACACTACAAAATCATCAAAATACAGTAATGTGCCATTACTTCCATGCTGACTCCCTTATATTTATACTTTGTTATTTGTTACTTTGAACAGAGATGTGCGCAAACGAACTAAGAGAAGTGAAAGTTGAGGATGCTTTACTTGAACAGCCTGAGCCGAGGGCTGACTCGCACAGCATCACCTGTCATGACATCTGTAAGGACACAGACCATCGTAAACTAGCCATCTGCAGCATCATATGTGGCCTCTCCTGCTTTGGAATTATGTCCCTCAAGTACTCTGTCAAGGTAACTAATGCTTATCAGTGCTGTTTGATTGCATTACAGCACTACTATTGTAATAAGTATCACTAAGCTCTATTTAAACTTATTTTTAAACTTAAATGGTTTAGTAACCCACCCATGCAGTCTCAGTAAAAGATTCAAGAGTGTAGACAAACACAAGATGTGAAATGAAAATAAACACTCCAACTGGCTTCCTCAAGTAGGCCTATTTTCATGACTGATGATCTTATTTAATTATTAACAGTTTGGGTTTGTTCTCATATACTGTACAGCTATTCAGACACTCCGCTGAGATCTGTTGCCAGTAACATAAGATACTGTTGGTAAAGATGAGACACAATGAAACAAAAGAGTACCATGAAACTTAACTGCAGTCAGTGATGAAAGAAACCTATGCATGCACTAATATAATCTAAGAATCGAAAAAAAAATGGAAATCTAACACCTTTCCTCATTTGTTTTCAGGCTCGAGAGACAAGAAAAAGACTTCAAAATGAAGACTGTCCAGAAACACGAGAGCTGGTTAAGAAATACTCAGAAAAGGCGTGTAAATGGGGAATTGGGTCCATTGTAGCCTGGGTGGTTTTAATTCTCATTTTTCCATTGCTTCTGGGATTTCTGTCCTTTGTTGTAACCTTCATAGATTGACATTGAAGAAGCTTTTCTACAGTTAAATGAGCAACCAAAGCAAATGAACTGTAGGAGTGCAGAAACAGACTCTTTCAGTGTTCACACCGGACACTGCATCTAGACCATCCACAAATGTAACTTGATGACAATAGGTTGGATATTAATGGTCATCTGTTTTGAAAGGTGCTTGTCCTTAGTTTGGATCAAAGGTCCACAACTTACTACCTATAACATAAGAGGATTCAACAGTTTGCACAAAGGACTAAATATTATGTGTATGACTACTGCAACTCACTATACTGTGGTAGTTCTAAGTCATCAATTGATCGCCTTCAACTAGTTCAAAATGCTGCTGCCAGATTCCTTCATAATAGCCGCAAAAGTGCTCACATCACTCCAATTCTGCGGACCCTTCATTGGCTGCCTATTAAATTCAGAATTGATTTTAAAATTATTTTATTTGTATATAAATCTTTAAATGATCTAGCCCCTATTTATTTATCTGAATTACTATACCCATATACTCCATCCAGACGCTTAAGATCCAGTGATCAGAATCTTCTTCTAGTCCCACAATCCAGACTCAAACGTAGAGGGGATCGTGCTTTTTCAGTGGTTGGGCCGCGGCTGTGGAATAGCCTCCCTTTAGAGATTAGACTTGCCCCTTCTCTGTCCACTTTTAAATCTCTTCTAAAAACATATGTTTTGTTTGGCTTACAAATAATTTTCTATTATGGTCTTTGCTTAGTCTTTTATGGGTTTATACTTCGTTTCTCTTGTGTTATTAATATATTTACTTATTTTATTATTAAGGCGAGACCCTGTTTAATTGTGTAGTTGTGCAGATTTTTATATTCTTTTTACTATTTTGAATTTCTGTACAGCACTTTGGTCAGCCGTGTGGCTGTTTTATACGTGCTATATAAATAAACTGAAACTTGAAACTATGCCTTCTGGTAGTAGCAAAACTTACTGGATTATATTAGTGACATACTTTAAAAATACAGTAACTTTCAGGAATTTGTTACATGCATGAGATGGAGCCATGCATAAAACCATCAGCACTGTCCAGACAAAAGCAACTTTTACACTTCAGCAAGCTGATTTTATTTCTGGTCTTAAATTGGAAATGAAACATTGAGACACACACAGAGAGCATGGCAGTCAAATGCCGAGATATGGATGTGGTTACATTATTAACGTTCTGTTCTGTTAAGTTGTACTGTTTCAATACCTTGTGCTTTTGATGTTTTGTACACTGCATGCATTTCAGATTTTGTAATAAAATGTGTAACAGTCAAAACGCACCTGCTCATTGTGAACTTCTTACAAACAACTCGACAAAACACCAAAATACAAAACACAGTTCAATTGTATTCTATTAGAAATACAGAACGCAGACTTCTATACAAGTTTACACACAAACCATTCAACGTGTTCAAACACCACAAGCAGCATTATAAATCACTACATCAAAGATGAACAAAAGCCTAAATTATGTGAATGGACTATAGTTCGAGTACCTGAGTAAAAGCACAGAATGCACTGAAACCTTTAAATCCTTTATGCTTCATGAGAAGCATCAAGCATAATCTAAAAATTAACAATGCAAACTTTTGTCTCACTGGTAACTCGCTGTATTCAGTGCTGTCACTACAAAGTCCTTTGTGGCGTCTCCTTTATAATGAAACCCACAGGCCATCCTGAGAGTGTATTACCGTAATAAGGCATTCATCTGAACCAAAGAAGCTTAAATGTTTTAAAAGAGGAATATACTGAGCGATGAAAGGTTTAGGACTCATTTGAAACACTTTCTGATACAGAGATGTGGTGAGTAGGAATGAGAGATATCTTAAGCCGCAGATTCATGTAAACAAGTGCTTTCTTTGAATGGTTATAAATGGACGAAACAGAATGGAGCTGTTTCTTGTTAAATCAGACAAATCTACAAAATAAACACCATTACCTTGCAAAATATATGAAGAATGTGATGTATTCTTTACAGTACATCAGTAATAAAGCATTTTACAGCTCTGCGAGTCTACTTATTGTCGTTGTGTTGAATTTACAGTAAATTTTAACATAATACATACAAATCCCATTGTTTGGTACAAAACAACCAAGACCTCTGCCTCAGCCCGCAACCTGCTGAAGTGCCATCCAGGTGTCCAACTCCTCAAGTTTGGAGTAAAGGAGGGACTCCAGCTGCGGCAAGGTGAGGCCATCCTCCACACTGGAAGAGACCCCTACACCTCGTCTGGTTCTACAGATCCCAGCGCTCCTCTGGGCTCCACCCGCCGCCATTACACCGACCAGAGGTTTCTTGGGCTTCCTGGCAACACCCAGTTCAGGGAATTCGACAAAGCGCTTCACCTTTTTTTGGCCCACAACAGCCTGAGAGCCATCACGCCGGTTAAGAGGCACCTCAAATATGGTTTCCAAACGTCTGAAAGAGTTTGCAAAACTTGCTTCACTGATCAGAGTATAAAAGAGAAAGAATAAAACAGCCCACTAAAATCTCAAAACCTAACCGCATGCTCTCAACGTAAATTCAAGTCTTAAAGGGATAGTTCGGCTAAATATGAAAATTTCATCATCATTTACTCACCTTTATGTTGTCCCAAACCCAAAAGTCTTGAAAAACAGAATATTATATTTTTAATGAAACCTGACAGATTTCTGTCCCTCAACTGAAAGTCCAGGTAACGAAAACAAAAACAGAAGATCCAAAAAGGTCATAAAGGTGTCATAAAATGAATCCATATGAATTGTGTGATTTAATCAAAGACTTGTTGAAGAGATATGAACGACAGAAACCTTAATTTAAAAAATATCTTAGTTTGTTTTTTCCAAGATTAACCAAAGTCCCATGGGTTTAGAACAACATGAGTGTGAGTAAATCATAATAGAATTTTAATATTTGAGTGAACTATCACTTTAATATACTACATATTAATGTCAATTGCATTTAAGGCTGTAGCTGGTAGACATTAAGGCCCAATCCCAATTCTATTTTATACCCCTCCGCCTACCCCTTCCCCTTGAAACAGAGTGTGAAGGGGTAGGGGTGAAAATATTCCCCTAAGAATTGGGACACCACTACTATACGTCACACGTCATCATACGTCGTCTAGCTCCTACAATACACACACCTATACTGGTGTGCTGGTGTGCATTAGAGCCTTTAATTACCGTTCTATATTAATGCGCTGCTTACTGACAC